TTTTTTTTTTTCCCACCTAGGATTTTTTAGGGAATACTTTTGACAAATCGATCGCACTCTTTCTCCGCTAGCTCTCTGCGCCCCCCCCTTCTTTTTTCCAAGCAGGGGAAGGGGTTTACGAGAGCGAGGCTCCTGCTGGACAAAGTTTTCCAAAGTTTTCCTAGTGTGATGGTTGCGATGAGAGCAAATCCACCAGCTTGATTCACGGCTTCATCTTAACCAACCCTTGAGCAGCCCCTAAGCCCCGCTATAAAGGAACAAACAAACAAACAAACAAAGTTACACCCCAGTTGCCTCGTGTCTCCTTTCTCTCTTCTTTCAGGCAATTTTTTTTCTCCGTCTCTCCGCTCCCCTTGCAGGCTCCACTCCCCTTCCCTCGGCCCCTTCCTCCTTCTCTGTTTCGGCTGAAGGTGCCAGGACCCCCGGCCGCAGCCTCCCCTCCCCCGCCGCTCGGGTCCCCTCCCGTCTGGCCCTCCCCTCCCCCGCCGCGGCCAGCACAGCCAATCCCCCAAGCGGCCGCCAACATGCTCTTTGAGGGCTTGGAGCTGGTGTCCGCGCTGGCCACCCTTGCCGCGTGCCTGGTGTCCGTGACGCTGCTACTGGCCGTGTCGCAGCAGCTGTGGCAGCTGCGCTGGGCTGCCACTCGCGACAAGAGCTGCAAGCTGCCCATCCCCAAGGGTTCCATGGGCTTCCCGCTCATCGGAGAGACCGGCCACTGGCTGCTGCAGGTAAGGCGCGTTCACTCCGCTACTCTCTGGGGTCCGCTAGCTGCAAGCGCCGGGCGGACGGAGCTTCGGGCCGGCCAGGGGGCGCCGGGAGCCTGAAGGCGCTGGTCCCCGCCCCGCCCCTTCCCTCCTCTCAGCCTCAACTGCCCGCCCGGGCTTACTCTGGTCGTCTGCAGCGAGGTTCCGAGACCACTGGCGCCCAGAAAGCAGGTTCAGGGGTAAGAGGGGTTCCCGGACCAGAGGGAGGCCCTAAGACTGACTCTCCCTGGTCCCGGGCAGCCTGGCAGGGGTGCTTGGAGAGCCCTGAGGGCTCCCAGCGAGTCGGAGGGAGCATCTGCCCCATTGCGCTCCAAGCCCAGGCGCGGTCGGCTTCCTGGACTTTGGCTGAGTCTCTGGGAGGCTAAAACTGAGTCGGGAGAGGAGGAGGGGGCCGGTGGCAGCTTGAACTGCCCCTTTAAAACTGTGTTCCTGCAGCGTAGTCTCCAGCTCCAGGTACTACCGTCCTGGTCCGCGGTCTCCGCAAGTGTGTGTGTTTTGTGGTGGAAGAGGAAGAAGGTAACCCAGGGAAAATGAGAAGCCAGAGACGTGAAGGCACTCGGCTTTCGGGGAAAAGGGTCTATTTACTTATTGGGTGGGGACAGTTTAGCAGGAGAGAAACTTGGGAGAGGTGTGTTAGACGCCGCACAACTTCACGCTGCAGAAAATGGGGGTGGGGTGCGTTAGGGACCAGACCCAGGTAGGTACTGGGAAGGTTAACCCAGAGTTAACCTCATCAGGGGCTAGACAATCGCTTTGCGATTTAATACACACTAGGTTTTTTCGGGGGGGGGGCGGGCTCTGGGATTACCTCCTGGGGAAGTGTGTTCGTGTGTACATGTGTGACTGTGTCTGTCCGGTGGGTTCTGAGGGGAATTAGCGAGAGCATGGGTGTCCAGAGACAGACAACTCTGGCACCGGCGAGGGGAAGCGAAAAGTGAGCGCTGGAGCGTGTGAGTTGAGAGGTGCGAAAGCTTGGCTTGAAATTAACAGACGCGTGCAACCAGGGCGCGCGCGCATCCTCATACGTACACCCCCAGCCCTAGGCTAAACGGCAGGGAATGGGGGCTGAGAGGACCACTCCAGGTTCCTCTGCGCTGTGGTCTTTTCAAGTCCTGGAGTTTGCCCATCTCTTTGGGGGGGGGGTTGTTCGTATAGAGGGGTGGGGTTCACGTGAACCAATCTGACTACTCCCAGGTAAGGAAATCCCTAGAGCCCGTAAAGGGTTAACTGTGGAGGTGGTCTAGGCTTTTGGCCGCCAATTTAGGAAATAAAATAACTAGCTTGGGCAAAGGCTACCGCCTAGTTGGAACCAGTCTTCGGAATCCACAGTTTGTCACCGCCCCCACCCCGTTTCCTGACCTTTCTCTGCCTCCCCTATGTCCCCCTGACCTTTTTTCCTAATCCCACCAAGGCCCCTGGGGGCCCACGTCCAAACAGCATAGAAGTTGGGGACGAGGAAACCTGCTTCTCTCACCCATCTAACTGGGGACCCTAGGTCTCCAGGGTGGAGGAAAATGGGGGGGGGGCAGTGGTGTGCGCGAGTGGAGGAGTACGGAAGGGGTTAATGAGAGCCCTCTGAATCCTAGCGTTATTTCTTCGGAGTCATTTATCAGATTTTACGGGGGGACCTCCAAGGGCTCTCCGTTTCCACCGAGCGCCATCTAAACAGAGCCCAGGGCTAAAAATACAACATTTTTGTATAAATTGGACTCGTGGCCCAAGCGGCCGCCCCTATGAAAGTCCTCTTTGTGAAGACCATGGAAACGGCGGACAAATAACTCTTTATTAATGCCACAAAAAACGCACTTTAATTATAGTTAGGCAGATCAGAGGCAGGGGGTGGGGGCGAGGCGGCGGCGACCTCGGAAAATTCACAGCCCAACTTTTGTGTTGAAAGAAAAGAAAAACAGAGGAAAAGAAGGACCGGTCAGACCCAGCGCGGGAGACGGGCATAGCAGACGTAGGGAAGGAACCCCGCTCCTTACCGTCCCCCCCTCCGTCGCACCCCACCTCTGCCTTGATTTTTCTTAAAGGGGTAGACGTCGTCACGAACTGCTCCACGGGGGTGGGAGGGAGCTCTCCCGGAGCCTCAAGCCTGGGAATGAGGCAGCGTCTCCCCGCGGCTCAGCCCCCTCCCGGCGGCGCAGGCGCTCCCGGTTTGTTCCCTGTCGCGCGCCGGGGCCTGAGGCGCATGTGGAAAAGTGATTAGAGAATCCAGGTTCTGCAGAGTCACTTTTCGGCTGTGCTGGGGTGTGTACACATCTAGCTGGCGAATAGTTTTCCGTAGAAGAAAGGAAAATGAGGAGGGAGACCAGTCCAAGAAGGGGAGCAGATATGTCCCCTCGGGGGTGCGTGACTGGGTAGACCTGGAGCCGGAGTCCTTACTTATGTTGGAGGGGCGGCGGGGCGCTGGACAGGTGACACAACCCCCATTTCACTCGGTGCTGTCTTGGCAGAAGAAGGGTTAACGTGGGGTGGGGTAGCCAGCGCGGCGACGTCAAAGGTGAGCCGGGACGCCCCTGCCCCCGCCTCTCTAGGTCCCCTCGGCTTCCGGTACTCGCGCCGGGCGGGCTGCGCCTGCTGTTTAGAGAGCTGGACCGGGCCAGGGCCCCAGCCATTCTCGGCTTGCGCCGCCGCCTCCACCGCCAGGGATCCGGTTACCTGCGCGGGTAGCTGCGCCGGTCCTACCCAGCCCCGCCCCGAGAGAAGAGTCTTCCGCGGTGCTCCTATACCAACCACCAGGGAGGCCACGAAAGTCCGCCTCAGTTATTTCCAGGACAAAATGCGTTAGGAAAACTGCGGCTTCGGGCCGGTGACCCCACCTCGCAGAGTTCTCGGAGGGCCTCCGGGTGCCTGCGCAGGCTCCGCCAGAGAACGAAGGAAACCCCAACCCCTCCCCCATCTGTAGTGACTGCCTCCGGGCACAGACCGCTTACCTCTATAAATAATCTTTGGCCTGCGGCCACCCCGCGGGGTCTCGCCAGCCCATGGCCTGGAGCCTGGAAATATTTATTCCGAGAGACTCCGAGCGCGGGGTGGGGGTTGAAGACTTCAGCTTCAGGTCCAGCTGTCCGGGATACCTTTTCCCTCCCGAAAGTCATTACTGAAAAACAGCCTTCTGGGGGATGCCCCGGGGCCTCCGGCCTCCTTGCGTTATTTATTATCCTCTCTAGGCCCTACTTTCCAGTTCTTGTGCACGCTGTGAAAAATAAAACCTGCGTTCGTGCGTGCCTATGTGTATTTGTGGGGGTGGGGCAGGTGACTGGTGCCAAGGGTTGGAGGTCTCTGCCCCTCCCTCGCCCTGTGGGCCCTCTGGGGACAGGCACCTGAGGGAAGTTACTCTTGCGGCTCCCGCAGGGTTCTGGCTTCCAGTCGTCCCGGAGGGAGAAGTATGGCAACGTGTTCAAGACGCATTTGCTGGGGCGACCGCTGATACGCGTGACGGGCGCAGAGAACGTGCGCAAGATTCTCATGGGCGAGCACCACCTCGTGAGCACCGAGTGGCCTCGAAGTACGCGCATGCTTCTAGGGCCCAACACGGTGGCAAACTCCATCGGTGACATCCACCGCAACAAGCGCAAGGTAAGAACTCTGGCCCCTTTCTTCCGTGCACCCCGTCCTCTCGGGGTAAGGAGTTCATGGACACCCACAGAACATCCCCCACCCAAATCAGCACCCTTGCATGTTATGCCTGAGGACCCGGCAGGTCCCTGTCTAGATAGCTTTGAGCCTGGATCCAGGGCCTGCACAGGCCTCCTTCGGGTCCACCCTCCTGTAGTCTACTGCACCTTGGACACCACCAGCTAGGTTGCTTTGGATAGAACTTAAATGTGCGGGGTCTGGGGTATCCAACACCTGTCCTTGGTGTGCTCCACAGAACTGGAAAAAGAAGAGGACCGGACATTTGGCCGGCGCTTTCCTTTTCACCAGTTTTCCCCGAGAACTCATTCTAAAATCAAATTTGACCTTCCCACCATAGCTTGTTTTAAGGGAGACACCGATAGGCGCGGGAGTGAGGGCGCCTTGTGGGGCAGCCGTTGCGGGGCCCTGTCTCTTCTCAGGAAGAGATGCGGAGAACTTGGCCACTGCACGCACCGGCCTGGACGGAGGGCGGGGAAGCGGAGGGGTGGGAGAGCAGCTGAGGCCCGGGCAGGGATCAAAACACACCCACCTCCTCTAAAGAGGAAGAGAAAGTGGGTGTTTATCCCGTGGATTTCCCGAGCGGCTGGAAGAGGCGCGGAGGAGGCGAGCTAGCGCGCACGGAGCAGGCCTCCCCGCCCCCTTTCTGGGCTGAGCCGCAGCAGCAGCTCGGAGCTCCGGCGGCACGTGCTGTTTGAACTGCAGTAACCCGAAAGCTGAGCCGGCGGGCGGGGCGCCGGCCTCGGGCTTGAAGCCGCCAGGAGGGAGGCTGCACTACCTCCTCCACTCCATTTTTTTCCTTTGGGTCAGAGGACTCACCCCAGTTTAAAACCTAAAGGAAAGAGAGAGGTAGCCTCTCTTTTCCCGGGGCAGTGGCTGGGCTTGGGAGCCCTGAGGAGACGGGGGCAGCTTCCTGGGCCAGAAGTCGCGTGTGTGAGGTTGTCATGGAGCATTGTATGCTCCCTGGCCCATCTTACAGTATATGGTGTTATCTGAACAGCCTATGAAGGGTAATTCTCTATAGCAGACAAAAGAAGGAATATCAAAGGGAGGAGAAGGGTCTTCATTCCCCCACTTCCCTAAAAATTTGACTATTTGAAGATTGGTCTTGGTCCTACCCCCTAGTTCCCTAATACATCGACTCTTTCAGGAACTGAAAAGGGGCTCCCAAAGTCATCTTGTCCATCTGCCTCACTCAGAGCTGGAAGCAGTTAACACAGCTTGGGGACAAAGGGGGTAGGAGGTGTTGCTGAGAGGGGGCTGTAGGCTTAGGAAGGAGGGCTTTTCAAATGTGTTGGATAGTTATTTTTCCCTTAGTTTGGTGACTCCACCAAAGGCCCATTCCCAAGAGTAAGGAGAGAGCTGAGACTCAGGAATCCATCTCCAAAGCAGATGGCTGCTTGCTTCCTCATTTCATCTTTATAGAAGCTTTGACAAGAAAGGAATTGTCCCCTTTTCACAGAAGGCTTGGAGAGGTTGGTTGAGACTTGAACCCATCAAGAAACAAAGAAAAGGCTGGGCAGAGCCTACAACACAGGCCTTTGGCTTCCATGGGTATAGTTGTTTCCAGGACACTGTGTTGAGTCCTACTCAGTCCTGCTGGCTTTGGGCTGCCAGAACTGGGATAGGTTGGGAGTGCTGGAAGAAAAAAGTCTTGGTCAAAACTAGAGTGAGAGACCCTGGGGCTTTGTGATGAGGCTCTTGCCTTGGAGTTCCACCTATACTCTAACTGACTTAGCATTGGGTCTCCAGGTGCCCACTGGGGAGGCCTGTCTGGAAAGCCCCAAGGTTTTGGCCTATGTTGTCCATTTAGGGGGAGGAAAGAGAAGAGGGACAGCACAGAGAAACAGTCCCAAGAGGAGTGTGTAGGGCAGGAAGAGAGTGAGATGGGGATAAGGCTGGGATGCGGGCAGAGGCTGAGGACCCTGGATGAGCTATAGGTGATGTCCTTGTTCAAAGCACCTGGCCCTCCAGCTCCTTGGAGAGGAGTGGAGAATTGCCAGAAGCCAGTTCATCCTGGCAAAGGGGCTTGAGACCAAATACAGGGGCTTTTCTTTTGGTGTATTAGTTGTGTCCTTGCTATGAGGGGGCATGTGTATGTGTCCCATGGTAAATGAGTAGTCAACTACACAAAAGGATTCTTCCCCCCAGATCTCCCTAATTGATGATCTATAAACCTAAGTTTACTGAATTCATAGAGGCCTGGGGTTAGGTACATAGAAGTAGGATATTGATCCTTTGCCCTCACAAAGTAGTCTAGCTGAAGGAATGAGAACGCCCAGGGGCACTGTTTCTAAATATATATCCACGTTAGTCCTGGAGAGAATGGCCAGACTCCTGGATTTAGTGCCTGGTGGACTCAATGCAGCCTGGGTAGGTGTCGTTGTGTGCCATTCCCACTGCCTTATGAGTCCCACTCTGCAGTCAGGGACCTGGCTGAGAGTGGACTGCTGGGCCAGGCCCAGCCTGGTTAGAAGGTATGTGCAGGAAGTGGGGCCCAGGTGTGCTGGGGCCCGGCTGGTAGAGAACTAGAAGCGTCACTGTTTCCATTGGTGTTGGTGGCCCACCCCTTCTCTGGGAGGTCTGACCAGATGTGCTGGGAAGAGGCTCCTCACTGCCATCACTGCACGCCAGGTGTTTGCCCTGGCTTCCCTGGTGGTCTAGGTCCAACAGAGTGGGGTTGCCAGGGAAAAAGTCCAGAAAATCTTGCTCAGTCTAACAGAATCATCTCTGGAAGCCAGGCCTGTTTCCCTACAGCCAGGGCCTCAGACTCCCTCCTCCTGGGTTTCCCTTCCCCCTGCTGAGGGCCTAGGGTATCTCTGGTATGTAGGGAAGGGACCCCATCTCTCTCTCTCTCTCTCTCTTTTTCTGAGACAGAGTCTCATTTTATTGCCCTCGGTAGAGTGCTGTGGCGTCACAGCTCACAGCAACCTCTAACTCCTGGGCTTAGGCGATTCTCTTGCCTCCGCCTTTCGAGTAGCTGGAACTACAGGCACCCGCCACAACACCCAGCTATTTTGTTGTTGTTGCAGTTTGGCTGGGGTCAGGTTTGAACCCGCCACCCTTGGGATATGCGCCTGGTGCCCTACCCACTCAGCCACAGGCGCCGCCTGACCCCATCTCTCTTCATGTGTAAAGAGGCTGGGTATTGGCCTAGAAGGATGGATGGAATCTGGTTAGGAAGGTATAGTGAAAGAGTCGGAGACACGGAAAATTTGGGGGATAGTTCTATAGGATTGCATATTTCCTCTTTCCCTTTAGAGGAAGGGCCAGGCCTCTTTGAATCAAGAGGCCACCTGCTTCAGGGCATTCTGGATAGTGGCCCTGAGATACCCCCAGGGTACTTGGAGAATATCTCAGGGGTGGTACTTAGCTTGGAGCCCCTGGACTGGTGAGACCCCAAGAGCAATCCTCTTGCTGTGTCTACCCAGACCCCTGCCTGCAGGGCTCTGTGCCTGAGGGTGAAGTATAGGAACAGCCTTTGGAGGTGGGGATCAAGAAGCCCTGCCTGCACACCTGCTGTCCCTCAGTGACCTGGCCTTTGGGCCCCATCCTGGACTGAGGGTAAAGGTCAGGCTCAGGGTCACCACACTCCTCTCAGAAACCCTATGCCTCCTGGAGTAGAGTGGCCAGGAAGGCAGAGCCAGGGCACCCATGAGTGTGAGGTTCTGCGGAAGACTAGCTCATACCTGACTCTAGGAGGGCCCAGAAGCTCCATCCTGCATTGGATGGGAAGGCTGGTAGCATGACCAGGCAGCCCTGTTGCTGAGTGCTCTGCCCCAGCCCCTGGCATAGGCACAGGGCTTTTATTCTGCTAACCCAAGTCCTTCACCCAAAAGTTACTGTAGCACCAGCGGTGGGCGCAGGGGCTGCTGAGGAGGTGGTGGCAGGAGCGGATCTCTCTGAAGGTCAGCGGGGGAGGTAGCCCACAGTCAGCTGCCAGGGCGTCTGGGAGTGGGTGCCTCCCTCTGCATGCCCTTGTGCCGGGCAGCAGGCTGGTGGGCGGGCTGGGCGTGGGGGCTACTGCCTGTCTTTGTCCCTCTTTTCAGTGTCCTTCTCCCAGGGTGGAGAGGGGTCCAAGGCTGTGATGCTGATGTGTTTGTTTATTCTCCCAGCCTTGGAAGACAAATGTGGCCTTGGTGGGAGTGGAGAGGCTTGGCTGGGGTCTACTCTGGCCCTGTTTGCTACCCTCTGTGTCCATCCTGGGTTCCCTCGGCCTAAACGGAAGGGGCTTCAGTGGCCTGAGAAATGCTGTGAACAGATCAGAGTAACCTTATCCTTAGAATAAACTTAGGCCATAGAGGAGGATCCTTTTTGGGACTTTTAGATAAATTCAGAAACCACCAAGGCTGGTAGAGGGCAACTTGGTGAGATCTGGGGTTGTGGGAGGCACAAGTATCAGGGACTTTGGTGGGTATGGCCAGTTATGCCCTGCACTGTGACCTTGGAGGGCCCTTCCCCCTCTGGGCCTCAGCTTTCCAAGGAAGAGGAAGAGTTGAAAGCATCCAGGCAAACCCTTCCAAATTCTGTGATTTGGTGGGTATTTGCCAAGTGCTAACCTCCTCTCACCACCTTGTGCATTTGTTGCCTGTGTGGAAGAGTTAGGACCATGTTAGGAAGGTGGGAAAGAGGTCTTGAAGTAAGATGATTACAGCTAGAGTCAGATGGGGGACAATCACTCTGTTCCCACTGATGCTGGGAAGGGGCATGTGCAGGCTGTTGGAGGGATTCTGGGCTAGTCCAGTGGGACCAGAGAGGCTGAGTGTGCCCAGCCCCACACACTGGGATGGTGCATTTCCAACCTTGGGGGAAACTGCCTGGCATTTCCACTGGGCCAGGGCAAAGCTCAGGCCCAGTGGAAATGCCAGGCAGCTGGGAAGATGACGTCCTCTCTTGTTCTCCCCCCACCCCCTTGCTTTAGTGTAAAGTACACACCTTGGCGTCACCCCTATGTGGATGGCTGCCGCAGTGGCTGCCCGCGCTGTTATTCTTTCCACTCCGCAGGCCTCGGCTCCGGTGGCTTGGCCGGGTGGCCTGCCTGGGCCCCCACCTCTTTTGGGCAGCCGCTTCCATTCCTCCCAGTCTGAGTCACTGGCCTGGGCAGTGGGTTCCCTCTCTGACTCTTCTCACTCCCACAGCTGCCCATCCATTTGTCTATCCGTCCATAGTGGCCAGCAGAGAAGGGGGGTTGTTACCTGGCTGAGCAGCTGCAGCATGAAGCAATCCCCCTCTCAGGGGCACTGAATGAAAGGTGGGGTAAGGGGGGCCTGGCTGGTGGGGAGAAAGCATTTGTAGGAACAATTATAGGGAATTTGAGCCTTGACAAGCTCCAGTGGTGCCCCCAGACCCTTTTTGTGAGATTGATCCTCATTCTGGAAGGAGAAAGAGAACCAGCCATGTGGTGTCCATTGTGGGTTTAGAGGGGAGGTGTCCAAGGACATCCCCCATGGATGGAAGCCATCCTCCCTCCCGCCCTTGCCCTAAGGCTCTGGCCTTGGTGGGAAGTCCATACCTGTGGCTCCCTCTGCAGGGCTTGGCCTGGGCCTGGCCTAGTTCCCAGTGACCTTTGTTTGGCATTCTTGGCTCACTTTTGGGAATTCCCAGGGAAGCCCCAGAGGGAAACAAAGCAGCCCTGGCTTCTGTGACAACTGTGGTCAGAGAAGTCTCTTCTGGGGGCCAGGAACCTTTCCTTTCTTCACACTGAGCAGCTCCCCAAGCACCTTCCCAGTGTGCCCAAGTCCTGACCCTGGCAGGTGGCTCCTCAGACACAGCCCACCAGACACTGCCCAGGCTTCCTGTGCCCTAGCCGGCACCTCTGCCTCCGCTTGTCCTATGTGGTAGGTGGTGATTTCTGAGCTTCCCTGGCTTTGGGAAGTGCCTGAGTTGTTAACCTGGGCAGAGACTCAGGGATGAGGCCCTGGAGTCTTCCTGGTACTCAGAGACCCTAATGTCTTTGGAACAGCTGGGTGGGTGGTAGGGACATGGACTTGGTAACCTCTGAGCAAAGCCCTGGGGCCTGGAGTGCCACTACTTCCCTTTGCTCGGCTTTTTATTTGAGTAGTTTCTCCTCCTAGGGTGCTCTGAGGAGAATGGTGGGACAAGCTGGGTGAAAGGACCTCAGAACATCCAGGTGGACTGTCCTTGAACCAGTAGGGAAGCTGAGCTCTGGAGGGGCAGCCACCTGCTGGCTGTTAGCCAGCAAGTTAGTGGCTGCTCGAAACAAGGGCCTTGGTCCAGCTTCAGTTCTCTTTCCAGAGGCCCTGGCCCCAGGGGCCTTCATGGTATAAGGTGGCAGTGGTTTTCTTGGGACATTCCAGCTCCTAGCCTTGCTCAGCACCTCTTTCCACCCCGGGCCTGGTGTGGGCGCCCTGCTCTAGACGTCCCTCCACTCATTTCCAGGTTCTCCATCCCTCTTGTCTGTCTTGACCCCCAAAGGCCCGAACAGGAGCGATTCAGCCTGTTGTCGCTAGAGGGCGCAGGGAATGCAACCTACGGGGCAGGGCAGAGCTAGTTGGCGGGTGCGGAAGGCGCCCTCGGCGCTTACTTTGGGAAAACGTGGGATGGCCCTTCTAGAGCCCCTGTGGCCCCTGTGGGCTGTGTGGTGGCGCCTGGCAGGCCCTCTCTAGGTGACATGAGCATGGCCAAGTTCTGGGCTTCCTTGAGTGGGTAACGTCTACTTTAAGGGCAAGTGGATAGACCGAGCGTTCATGTGCTTGGTGAAGTGAAAGGAGCCCCAGCCATCACCTGTTTCAGAGTCAGCATTTTACAGATGAGGAAACTGAGGCTTGGGGGAGGGGGTGGTAATTTGTCAGTGATCATACAAGAATTTGGTGGATGATTCGTAGCTAGAATTCAGGTCTCTGGGTGCCCGGCCTCTATTTTTCCATCACCCTACTGCACATAACTGGCTTTGACTTTGGTTGGACCTGGGAGGCATGGCTTCTGCCCTCTTCCCCTCCACAGACCCATCTTTGGGCCCCAGTCTCCCATGTGATGGGGGCCCTGATCAGTCCCTACCCTGTTCCTTTCATGACAGAGCTCCTAGTTTGGCCTGGGCCAGCCAGCTCTGGGCCCATTATGGCCCTTCCTGAGTCCTCTTTTCCACCTCTAGCCTCCCCACAGAGGCCTGGTAGCTGTAGAGTAATTTTTTGCCTCTCGTTTCCTGATGAGCCTGCTCAGCAACCAGGTACTGCTTTCTGCTCACTCCATGGCCTCTTTGCTGTTTTGTAAGAGCCCTTACCTGACTGGTGCTGGGCTTTGGGGGCTCCCCTCTCACTCCAAGGCCCACTGTGTAAGGGCTGAGCCTAGAATCCTAAGGACAGCAGGGTGAGGGGCTGAGGCAGACAAGCACTACCTTTATCTATAACTCTTTGAAGTAGAATGGCCACTGAAGTCCCCCCTGGAAATTCACTAGGACCCCCTAAACTGGGCAAGGTGTGCATGACCCATTCAGGCCTGCACTGTTCTAGGTGACCTCCTATCGTCCTTCTGCCTCTTGGCTTTCCTTTTGTAGCAGGAGCAGCCCCAAACAGTGTGGGCCTCTCTGCCCCTCACCAGCCTCCTGCCCTCCCTCCCTCTGTCCACTGGGAATTTCGGAATGAAAGTGCTATTGTGAATGCCTGGCTGGGCCACTGAAGGGCCAGCACTGTTATTTCTGCAAACCAGCCTTCCCATTAGCCATGCAGGGCTCAGGCCAGGAAAATGTTACCTTTCCTCCTTGAGCTGACTGCAGGGGAAATTCTCACATTTACAGTTTGTGCAGTGGTTGTGTTTGGGGGGCAGAGGGAAGGGCAGTCCTGTGTGTGTGGTTTGCATGAGGCAGGGTGAGGGGCTCCTTCTGCGTGGCCTCTCCCGTCTCACCCTTTGCAATGACCTTCCCTGGTGCTTCTGAGGGGCACTCCTTTCTGCTCTGGACTCTGGGGGAGATGGAAGTTGTTGGTTATGAGTGAGACCCACAGGCTGTCAGTAAATAAACTAACATCCCTACCTCTTCTACACATGAAAACCATGTGCTGGGGCTTCTTAGTGAGAAGGGGCCATAAGGGGAGTTTTTGAGCCAATCAGGAAGAAAGAAGGCAGGGGAGGTGGAAACAGGGGCTCATTGGCCACTTAAAATTGTCCTGGAAGATGCAGGGAATTAAAAAGGCTTCTGTTTGTCTTTATGATCTTTTGGATTTGAAAGCCATTGGTCCCATATCCCTCCCTCTAGACCTGGCCACACTGAAAAAATTTTAATGTCATAGCTGTTAGTAAATACCCTGGAATCTTCACCCAGTGGATGTTTCTCAGGGAATGAGAATAATTATGGATTCCAGGAATCCTCCTTGTGATCTAGCTTCAGACTCTCCTGCTTTCCCATCAGTAGAGGAGAAGAACCACCTGATTTCCTACCTCTTCCCCATCCAGTCCACTGACCTGTGTTTCACTTCTTTTGGGCAATTCTGTTTGTGTCTTGGGATTTAGGAATGGGCCCCTGCAGTGGGAGGGCAGCCTCCATGCTCCAAGGTTCTGTTCAGCCTCATCAGGAGCCCCTACAGAATTGTTGGCGGCTGGACTGCCCAGTCCCTAACCCTTTGCCATTATGTGGAACTTGGAATTTTCCCTGGTTGTAGTCATGGGATAGGTGCCTTGTCCAGGTAGAGTGTGGTTCAAGCCAACTTCAAGGAGTCAGCCCAGGGAACACCTGCCAACTCACCCACCTGCCTTTCTACCCCCCAGGTCTTTTCCAAGATATTCAGCCATGAGGCCCTGGAGAGCTACCTGCCCAAGATCCAGCTGGTGATCCAGGACACCCTGCGTGCCTGGAGCAGCCACCCTGAGGCCATCAATGTGTACCAGGAGGCTCAGAAGCTTACCTTCCGCATGGCCATCCGGGTGCTGCTGGGCTTCAGCATTCCCGAGGAGGACCTTGGGCACCTTTTTGAGGTCTACCAGCAGTTTGTGGAGAATGTCTTTTCCCTGCCTGTCGACTTGCCCTTCAGTGGCTACCGGAGGGTGAGGATCCCAGGCCTGGGAGAGGAGCTAGGGCATCCGGGGCTTATTTACCCTTAGGGAGGGCAGCTTTCTGCTAGGCACAGGGCACATGGATGGGAGAGAGGGGTTGGCAAGAGGGCACCTGGAGCTTTGGCTTGGCTGTCTGTGTGGATGACAGCTCTTTCTCCCTTCAGGGCATTCAGGCACGGCAGACCCTGCAGAAGGGGCTGGAGAAGGCCATCCGGGAGAAGCTGCAGTGCACCCAGGGCAAAGACTACTCAGATGCGCTGGACATCCTCATTGAAAGCAGCAAGGAGCATGGGAAGGAGATGACCATGCAAGAGCTGAAGGTGGGGGTGGCGGCTCCCCCAGTGAGCAACAGTGCACCCATGCTCTACTATGGAGCTTTCTCTTTGGAAAGACTTCTCTCACACAGAACATGATTTCTGAGTGGGGCTGGAGAGGGCTGTCTGTGCCCCTGCTGTACAGGATGGCCTGACATCCTTAAGCAGGCAGCTCAGGGCTGGGAAGGATAGGGCCTGCAGGGGAAGCCACTTGCTTGAGGCCAGAATCAACCCTTGGGGAATTGCAGGGAAGATTTGTGTACACAAGGAGGTCTCTTCTTCCACCCCAGAGTCTTTTCAAGCTGGTGGCTCTTTGCTGGCTCTCCCATCCTTCCTGGCACCTGCTGAGGCCAGCTGGGCTCCATGGAAGGCTTCCCACCTGCCCTGTTGTGGGGAAGTGCTCCTCCTGAGGGGGGTCCATTAGTCCCTCCCCACTAAGCTCTGCTTGCCCCCTCGATGCCAGGTACCCACAGATACTCCCTGCAGACTCCCCATCCCCACTGTCTTTGCTTCTTCATATTCTAGCTCCAGCTTTTTTCCTGGGGAGCCAGGAAGAACCTGGAATGACTCTCCTATTGTACAAGTTTTGTAAATTTTAGGAGTCGTGGCAAGTAGGGACCCAGGGTGCTTCATTCCCCTCTCTGGGTCCAGAACCCATATTTGTAAAATGTGAAACTTGGAGTGAGAAAACCCATTGGGACCATGTCCTATGGTACCTATACCCAGTATCCAGCTCCCCAGAAAGCCCTTTAAGTTCTCGGGGGGTCGTCTGCCCTCAGCCTTCTCACTGCAGCCCCACCCCAGGCCCTTAAGGTTGTGGCCACAGGCTGCTTCCCAGAATCCCTAAGCTCCCCTTTCGCCCACCAGCCATCCTCCTGGGGATGGAGGAGAGTGCTGGGGCTGGGAGTAGGAAGGCCGGGTATAGACCCCCATCCCTTACACATGTGTACACACAGTCTGCCCAGGGTTTGGCTCCTTGGATTTGCTCCTTTTCTTCTGTGGGTTCACTGAATTGATCAGACTTCAGGGGCTGGCAAGAATCCAGCAGTGAGAAGTGGCCCTAATCTCAAGGGACTAACAGGCTAGTGCCCCTGCCTGGTCACAGCAGTTGTGTCTCCTACTCAGCCAAGGACTGGCTGTGACCCTTATGCCATTGTGGCCCTGAGGCCCAGGCATGTGAGGCTCAGAGGAAGCAGAATTTGCAACAAGAAGTAGGCAGGGCCCAGCACAGATGGCCCTATGCACAGGGCATGCTGGCAGAATGGGGCTATCGCCAGGATGGACCAGCCTGGCTGAACCTGGATGGTCAATGGTGCCTTTCTTCTGTGCCACTATAGGATGGGACCCTGGAGCTGATCTTCGCGGCCTACGCCACCACGGCCAGCGCCAGCACCTCACTGATCATGCAGCTGCTGAAGCACCCTGCTGTGCTGGAGAAGCTGCGGGAAGAGCTGCGGGCCCAGGGCATCCTGCACAGTGGGGGCTGCCCCTGCGAGGGCACCCTACGCCTTGACACGCTCAGCGGGCTACGCTACCTGGACTGTGTCATCAAGGAAGTCATGCGCCTCTTCACACCCATTTCCGGCGGCTACCGCACTGTGCTGCAGACCTTTGAGCTCGATGTGAGGCTGGGCCCTTTGGGCTAGGTGCTGGGGGTCCCCAGGGACTCTGCTTTGGGGGCCTGGGGCTGACTGAGGGGGATGACCAGCTTCCTGCTTGGGTACCTCAATCTGATAGGGGGGGGATAGTGCTTGCTTTTAGGGAGCTTTCAGTCTGATGGGAGAGATGCAGCTCCAAGTCCAGAGTGAGAGGAAGCCAGACCAAGTGTCACCTGTGAAGGTGTATGTGGATGTCTGTTAATGTACATAAGACTGGACTAACATGAGCAGGGGAGGCTGGCCAGGCCTGGAGGACCACCATGTCTCTAGGAGCTAGGGACAGGCAGGCAGTTCTAAGCCCTACCCTGGCCACCTCTGGCTCTCACCACTGGCCCCCTGACCCTCATCTTGCCTCCAGGGTTTCCAGATTCCCAAAGGCTGGAGTGTCATGTACAGCATCCGGGATACCCACGACACAGCACCTGTGTTCAAAGATGTGAACGTGTTTGACCCTGACCGCTTCAGTCAGGCACGGAGCGAGGACAAGGATGGCCGCTTCCATTACCTCCCGTTCGGCGGTGGCGTCCGGACCTGCCTGGGCAAGCATCTGGCCAAGCTCTTCCTAAAAGTGCTGGCAGTGGAGCTAGCCAGCACAAGCCGTTTCGAGCTGGCCACCCGGACCTTCCCCCGCATCACCCTGGTCCCTGTCCTGCACCCTGTGGATGGCCTCAGTGTCAAGTTCTTTGGCCTGGACTCCAATCAGAACAAGATCCTGCCAGAGACGGAGGCCATGCTGAGTGCCACAGTGTAGCCCCACTCCAGCCACACCCACCTCAGCCCCATCATGGGGTGGGGGTGGTGGGAGGTAGAAACCTGTGTGTGGAAGGGGGCCAAACCTGGGGAGGGTGAGTGGCCCCCATACTTGCCCTTCCTGGCTCCCACTCCCTGGCAAACCCTATTCAAAGCCAAAAGGGCCTCATCCTTCTTGGGGATGGACTCCCCTCCTGGCTCCTGCTTCCCCCCCAGGTGCCTCCCAGTTCCCACCAGCTCAGCCTCTGGGAAATGGCGAGACTGGAGCTCTGCATGCCCATGACAGTGTTAGATGTTGCTTGTGCTACAGTGTTCGCTTGTGATGCTCCGAACTGCTCCCTTCCCTCTGTTCCTTCCCAGTCCTTTTAGATGGAGGTCAGGCCACTGAAGTGGGAGTGGCAGGAAGAGGGGTGCCCCCTATGGTGCACTCTTCAGCACCCTCTCCCTGCTGCTCCTCCCCCTTTGGTTGCCAGAGAATAGCATCCTGAGTAATAGAACAGGAGTCAGCCCTGGCAGAGGCAGGGGCACCACCAACATGGAGACCCCGACCCCCACTTCCCTCTCACCAGTTTGGACATTTGAAATTAACTATTGCTGCTACTTGTTCTGTCCTCTGACCTTGGGGCAAAGGAGCCCCAGGCCTGTCCACCAGCATCCTCCCTGCTGGCCCTGGGCAGGCGCACTGACATCCCACTTCCCAGCCTCTGCTGAGCTAGGCTGCTCTCTGCTACACACACATACCCAGCCAGGCCTTGGCTCATGGGCTCCCCACCCCGATATTTATTCCCTGATAGAGAATCCTGGCAATGTGGAGGCCTGGAGCAAACATTTTCTCTACCCCTAGCCTCTGTTCTACCTGCCCCAGGTGAGACATCTGTGAGTGAAGAGGACGGGGTCTCTGTCAAACCCAGCCCCCTAGCTTAGGGTGGAGAAACTCCCCAGGCTCTAGAAGTTATTTGAGTTCAACCTCAGAGCCTTGCTCCTGGGCTGAAATCCAGCCCCTCTGTCTGTTGTGCCCTGGGGGGGATGGGGCCATGGCCCATTGCTTCCTGCCTGTTCCCCATCATAACCCCAATTATGTAGATTTGGAGGCTGCCATGGTTCCCTACTTGGCCACTGTGCACCCCAGTGCCCCTCACTCCAGCTAGTGAGTATGGGGCAGGATACGGGTTCTTTCTGCTGGTGAGGAGCCCCTTACCTTGTGCCCTTAGCCCTTGGAAAGGTGCCGTTGACGTCCCTTCTGCTCTATGCCACTGTCTGCTTAGTCCAGCTCAGGGGAGTGGGGACGAGATGAAGGCAAGGAGGAGGTGAGCACAGAGGCAGTCCTTCCTTCAGTGACTGGAGGCTGTGTAGCCTTGAGAAGCTGCAGGGTGGGCTGCAGGGAGAGCCGAGGACCAGGGTATGTGCCATTTGTCAGAAGGGATTGGGATGAGAACTGGAGGGTCTGGATGACTGGGTAGAAGAAGAGTAGCTCCTGCCACTGGCATTTTGAGTGTTGGCAATTTGGAATGTCTCCCGGGGATGGTCTGGGGGCGTTTTGTGAGTCTCTAAGCAATTTTGTCTGTTTTCATAATTTTTTTTGCTTTCCACCTTTCTCTGTTGGTTTCTGATGTTATAAAAGCAGTGACTCCTTCTCTTTACAAGAAAGTCAAAGCATAGATGAAGAAAGAAAGATATGATGATCCCCTAGTGGCTGCTGCGAGTAGCTTAGTGCCCCCCCCCACAGTGTCAGTGGGCAGACCCATGGTGGACCCCCTGGGCCTTGCCGGTAGACTTTACAGGAATGGGCTCATACTTCACAGACCATTCTGTAACCACTGATTCTCACATGTTTCCTTTCATAGTACTTTTCACAACTAAAATACAGTGTAACAGAAATTTTTGGCAAAAATACAGTAGAACCTCCATAGTTGACCACCTCCCTACACTGACCACCTCCTTTAGTTGACCTAATTTTCACAGACATCCACCCCATGTACATATCAGTACAGCAGACTTAGTTCCTTACGTTGACCACCTCCGTATGTTGACCAGTTTGTTAAAGTCTCTTGGGTGGTCAACTTACAGAGGTTCTACTGTAGTCTGAATTTTTTAAACAATTAGTAAAATCCCTCCAAATCTCTACTGTCCCCCCATCCTGAAGAACAGGCCAAAATGTGTAAAGACTCGTCAAAGCTTGCAAAATAGCTGCATGGTACACCAGAATCTATTACTCACAAAAAAGCCCAGGTTTGTTTTCTTTGAAGGTGATCAGCCGTGCCCTGAACCAGTTGTTTTTGACTGAATAACTTGGAGTGCCGTTAAGTGTGACTTCATACAGGAAGCATGCTGGGTCTGGCCCTGGAGAGGGACTAGGGTCTGGAGGGTTTGGGGAGGCCTCAGGGGCCTTCCCTTGGGGTGGCCAGCCTGGGAGAGGAACAGAGGGAGAAGCTGAAGGGATCCCTGTGAGAGAGGAAAGAAGGATCATTTGCCCCACTGGGTCTCAAAGATGACAAGAGAGAGCTACAGAAAGCTCTAGCTGGCTGACAGCATCCCACCGTCAGAATTCACCCATCTCTCCTCTGTAGATCTGTATTGAGATATCTGTGTCCATGTGTTTGCGTGTGTGTTTTATAGAGCTAGCGTTAGATGAGTGATATTTTCTCACTTACCATTCCTAACTATTGTAACTTGACATTAAAAAGACAAAACCCTGCAAAACTCTTCCTGCCCTGGGCTTGCAGACTGAAGCACTTTTGATGTTGGGCGCTGGCGTTTGTGTTCTGGGCACCACCTTGCCCCCCTGCCCAGATTGCTATAATATTATTTTATACACAAGACTTTTTTTTTCATAAATGTTATAATTTTGTGTCTGTCTTATAAACTATTATAAGTACTATTTTTGTTATAATTCAAAATAGATATTTAGTATAAAGTTTTTTGCTGTTAAATATTTGTTTTATTTAGTAAAATATGAATTTTTTTCTCTATTGTAAACATGGTTCAAAATATTAATATGTTTTTATCACAGTTGTTTTAATATTGAAAAAGCACTTGTGTGTTTTGTTTTGATATGAAACTGGTGCCGTATGAGTGTTTTTTTGCTGTCATGTGGTTTTAATCTGTATATAATATTCCATGTTGCATATTAAAAAATGAATGTTGTGCATTTTGTGATCTTGGAAATACTCAATACGGCTCTTTTATAGGCTTCCATAATAAACTGTGGGGACTCACACTTGCCTTCTTTGCCTCTCTGCCTTCTCATCCTTACAGAAAGGGTCCTCCCGAGCTACCAACATTCACATCAGCAACACCCAGCCCAATTTCTCAGGAAGTTCTTCCCAATAATAACATCTGACCTGTGAGGCCAGTTGACCGGTCTGTGTGTCCAGGCACAGAGAAGTCTGTGCAGTATCCTGGGAGGAGTGGATTCCCCTGCGGAGGGAGAGACATAACTGGTCTACCTGTTGGGACAGCTGGGAGGCCACTCACCCTGGAAAAGTATGGCTTTCACTGGCTGTACTAGTTGTCTCAGGGCTGGGCATGGGGATGTGGCGATCTAAGAACCTGTCTTCAGAAACCACCTGGTCAGATTGAATGAGGACACATGTCAGTGTCCACAGCCATGTGGCAAACTACAGAGCAGGATTCAATGCCTCAGAATTCCTGCCTCATGTCTCATGTCAGGACCACTGAAAGCCTGTGTTATGGTTGTTGCAGGATCAAACAGATTCTGTGATCAAATAAGTTTGCAGGCCTTATCAGAACCTTGAGCATAAGGAGTATAGTACAGTGTAGGGTGGATACAGGCTGCAGCACTCTCCAGGCCTGAGGACTGAAACCTTGTCCTCTTTTGTTGATTACCACATTTTTACAGAAAGCTCCACAGCCTGATTGTCACTGAGGTCTGAGGTGAGACCCAGCAAAGCGAATGACATTCAGTGCAGAGGGAAGCAAGACCCAAGGTGGTTCCAAGGACCAAGAGGCAGTGGGTGGGGAGGAAGGGCAATGAGAGACAGAGCCTTGACTCCTAAGCTGCACACTGGGAACCAGAAAGCCCACAGAGTGTCCAGACGGTCCCAGCCTCTTCCGTGCATGCCCTGGTCCTCTCCCCACAGTCTGGGAGAGAAAGTCCACCCCTGAGCTGGCAAAAGGAGAAAAGTCTCTTTGTGGCTGTAGTGTTTCTTTTTGGTACAGTCTATTGGACCCAACCTCAGCCCAGAGCACCTGGCCCAAGTACACCCTGGGGCATAGGGTCTTGCCCTGCCTGGGTCATAGAGCCAGAAACCCAGAAGAGAAATACCCAACATGTGATCAATGTTCAGCCACCCTGGTCACCAGCTCATCTGTACTGTGTGGCCTTTCTGATTCACCAACCTGCACATCCTGCACCCCATCTATACTCCCTGGTGCCCTGGATGGTTCTGGCAAGCCTGACCCCAAACCTAGCTCTCTGTTCTCAGGGTCGGGAGGGGCAGGGTGATTTCCCTATTTTCCATATGGTAAAGTAGAGTCTCACAGTGGCAGCAACTTCCCCAAGGCCACATAGAAGTGAAGGGTAGTATCGGCTGCCTGCCCTGCCCTGCGCATCCCTAGCACCAAGGAGCTGCCTCAGACAGAAGCCCCCACTATCATCAGCAGGAGCAGCAAAAAGCCTCTGCTTCTGCGGGGAAGCGTGCCAGGAAAAGGTAGCAGTTTTTCAGAGTGTAAATTCCACCTCTCTTGGTGGACTGTCCTGTGTGGCAGTAGAGGTGAAGGGAGCATGGTCCCTGTGCTGCCCTTGTCCTGACCACCCTGCTGTGGGGCGGCAGGACGGGCGGGTGGCTGGCCCATTGCCCAGCATGTCCTTGCCTCTCTTCCGTGGTCCCCATGGGTCAATGACGTCTGCCTGCCTGCCGGTTTCCCTTACAGCTGCCTGCCCTGGGATCTCCTGGCCTGGAAGGAGAACACAGGCTGCTGTGGACAGGCAAACACGGGCTCTGTTTGTCCAGGGATTGGGGCGCCAGTTTGGAGGGAACGCGCAGACCGCACATTTTGCCACCTTCCTGCAGTTTTCCAAAACAAGCCTGGCTGTGGCTGTGCCTGGCAGCCCAGGGTGGCCCATGGCTGGGAGCCAGGAACAGGGCAGGGGAGAGCAGGGCCTTGGAGCCAGCAGGGTGAGGTGATCAGGTGAGGA